GATTTCTCCATGTTGGTCAGGATGGTCTCGCTCTCCTGACCTCGTGATCTGCCTGCCTTGGCCTCCCAAAGTGCTAGGATTACAGGCGTGAGCCACTGCGCCCGGCCCCTTGTCAGGTCTTTATGCTGCTTTTTCTTTGTTGTATGCATGTATAGCCTGTTTTTTTAAAAACAAACAAACAAACAAACAATAAAATAATTTATACTTTTAAAAGAAATCTTACTATTGGTACCAGAATTTTAGAACATTAGCCCTGGAGTGGACTCAGGAAATCTTTTTGTCCAACTCTTTCATTCTGTAGTGGACTAGTTATGGTCAATTTTTACTAATGAGAGGTCTGATAGTCTTAGTAAAGAGACGTCTAGGCTGGGCGTGGTGGCTCACTCCTGTAACCCCAGCACTTTGGGAGGCTAAGGCGGGAAGATCACCTGAGGTCAGGAGTCCGAGATCAGCCTGGCCAACATGACGAAACACCGTCTCTACTAAAAATACAAAAATTAGCTGGGCGTGGTGGCAGGCACCTGTAATCCCAGCTACTCCAGAGGCTGAGGCAGGAGAATTGCTTGAACCTGGGAGGCGGAGATCGCAGTGTGCTGAGATCGCACCACTGCACTCCAGCCTGGGCAATACAGTGAGACTCCATCTCAAAGGGAAAAAAAAAAGAGAGACGTCTAATTTTATGCAAGGTTTGAGTTAGTTTCTAGCCCTGTCAGTTAGTGGTCATGTGACTTCAGGCAAGATACTAACTTCTGACCTTCCTTTTGCTCATATATAAATGGGGGCCAAATATCATCCTTATATGGAGAATTATGAGAACTCAGTGAGACGACGTGAATACCTAAAATGCTATCTGGTAGATGGCTTCTCTTTTCTTTTCCTAAGCCAAAATGTGTGTCAACCTTGGCTTTTAACACAGATTAGCCTTTTCACAAATAGTTCTTCGCATTTGCATCAGACATTTCCTAGAGATAAATCATATTGTGAAAGACAAATCTTATTTATTTATTTATTTATTTATGGGTGTGTTATATTTACAGAATGTTTTCAGGAAAGTGAACATCTCAAGGAAAGTCTTAAATGTTGCTTATTGCATCTTTTTGGAGCCATTGTAGCCGGTGGGCAGGTAAGGAAAATGTTGAAATTTAATATATACAATTATAATTAACAGTGCAAAAAGCTTTCCATGGATTGTTTAGTGTGTTCTTTGTCTTTTTATAATTGCATTCACCATACAAATATTGAACTTATATATTGTAACTAATCTGCGTCTTTTATTTTCCAAAAAACCTAAGTAATATTTAGCACTGACAATAAAATTACTGAATAAATAAACAAATTTAACAATTTTTGGTATTGTAAGTTCTTATTTAC